AACTAAATTGTTCTAATTTTAGTACTTAGTAAAATTTTAGATCAAATCTCTGTGGGATCAATGCTCTGCTTGCTTATATACTCTTTATTCAATATGTATACTTACATAGTAGAGTTTTAACTGACAGTTAACTTTAAGTTTGGGGGAGTTGTTGAATTTTTTTAAGTTTTGGTTTAACCTTTTGGCATTTATGTTTTTAGATTTGTAATTCATTTAATGTTTATGATTTAAGTTTCTGCATATTTTGAAAAGTGAGCTAGTGTTAGTTGTACCAATTTCTTTGATTTACCTATCCAATGATGGTAACTTAGTTAGATTGATATCTAAGCTCTTAGTAAATGAGAATATTTTTGGTTTATGCTAAATTCTTATATTAAGTATCATTGTTAGGATGTGATTTCTATTTATAGAGCACATTGTCTTTTGCTTAGAATTGTTGTACATATCTAAAGAAGGTTTATGTGAATGTGAATTTTTGGCTTATGTCACGAATTTTAGAATTTGTTTGATTCTCTCTCAAGGTGAAATCTTAGGCAATACTTAGTTAAGGAGATGAATTAGGTCATCTTTGGATCGTTTAAGCCTTTCAAGCCAACCTTGACATAATTTTATCCATAGTACACCCCTGTGAGCCTAATATTACCTTTTCTTTGTTGAACACGTATTTTACTTTAGCTTATCCTTTAAATAAATTTCCAATTTTGTATTCCTAAATTTTAAGCATGTTAGTCATTTAAGGGAGTTTATTGAGCTAATTGTTGAATAAAGTAGAAGGCTGCTAACTCTATGATAGAGTTATTTGGGCTTAATTTTGATAGAGATTTAGCTTAATTCTTGTAGTAATGCATAGAGATTAGTAGATTTTATTTAATTATTTTAAGTTAGTTAATTTAGGGGAGTAATCTAATCTTAGTTAATTTTATGCTTGATTTGGAGTTAATGTAGTCAAGATAGGTTGTTACTAATTTATTTGTGCTTTTGTAGGTTAATGAAAGAAGAATTTTAGTGAAAAAATAATAATGAAATGCCAAATTGACAGTGGAGAATCAAGCCACAAAGTCATTGAAGCTAAGAAGATTTCGAAAGATTCAAGAAGACTTGGAAGATCAAGATTATAATTCTTGAGTTTTATCTTTTTGATTATTCTTTTGGTTTCTTAGTTTGTTTTTATTGTTTAAACTTAATTTGATGATGATGTGTGACTTAGTGGAGAACTAAGTTTTTAATCTAAGATTATGATTAAACTTAATATATAGTCTGATTTATTTATTTCACTTTTGCTTATGTTTGATGGATTTAAGTTATTTATTTTATTTTGTTCTTAATGCTTCTAATTGCCTAATCACTAATTAGATTGAATTGGAAACCTAAGTTAAACCTTGATGAAGGAGATTTAGGTAGACCTTGAATAGAATAGCATATGATCAAATGCACTTTGTTGATTAGGTGGTTTGATTTGCCTAGGGTAGACATACACTTATAAGCCATACGTAGTTAGGATTAGAGCACAAACTTAACGAATCTTTCTTTAATTTAATTTGCATAGACATATAGTAAATTAATTAAAAGAGTTATTTTTATGATAAACTCAACAGAGGCTTGTAAATAATTTAGGACTCTAGGTTAGCAACTTAATCTATTAAATTGAGTTAAGAGAGAGAGACAATAATCAGATGAAATATTAAGGGATATCATAATCTTAGGTCTGGTAGCTAAGTGAGTTTTATTTACTATTTAATTTTAGTTTCAGTTTATTAGTTTTATTTTTTTTTTATTTTAATTGTTTGGATAAAATTAAGGTGTTATAATTTTAGTAGTTAATGGTAGGAAATTAAACAATTCTTTGTGGGAATGATACTCTACTTCATTACTATATTATGTGTTAACGATATGTGCACTTGCGTGAGAAATCAACAACATGTTTTTGGTGTTGTTGTCGGGGGGTTGATTTTTAATTCTTTCTTGTTAATATTAATACCAAGCATTCCTAATCTTGCTTCAAACTTTTCTTTCTATTTTTAGATATGCTTGATTAAGGTGATGAACTATTAGTGGCCATCTAAACAATTTATGCCTAGGAAGGTTGCTAGTGATTATACATTGGATGCAATCAGTGTTTTAGCCACTCAAGTAAATGTTTTGTCTCAAAAAATTAACACTTGGGCTGCTAATGCTTTTTAAAGTCCTTTTATGACATGTGAGCTTTGTGGAGATAAGCAT